AAACCCCTGGCTAATCCAATCCGGGCCTTCTCCAAGGACAGGCAGCTGATCCCCTAGCCTTCCTGGCCACCTCACATTCTGCCACTGAGCCTCCCTCAGAGATCAGCGCATTCTCCCAAGCTCTGAACCTCCCAACAAATAATCCCATATCAGACAGCTGAAAACAATAACAATCTTCCTACAGTGCAGTAGTACAATCCAGAAAGGACAGGATGTCACAGCCCGGCAGCGTGTCCAGCAATGCTTCAGCAAGAAAATATGGACCTGCTCAGACATCCCAAGGGTCACCTGCTGCTCCCCCAGGCGAGAGGACCCTCTGCCCCTGTGCCAGTCCGCCAAGGGGGGGGTGCGCAGTCACCAGAAAGGAGCCCCTTTCCCAAACTGGAGAATCTCTCACTTCTGGGCCTCCCTTCCTTGGAGGGGGGGGTCACCTGCCATATCTCAATGGGCAAGAGGACCCTTCTGACCGTACGGCAGCTCCCCCTCCTCTGCAGATACAAAGATGGAAGCAAACACCAGCATTTACACCGAGCCTCCAGCGAAGGCAGGGGGTCCCGTTTAGCTGAGCAGTTGCTAAGACCCAGAGCCTGGACAGGTTTATCGGAACAAACCACTAGCCATGCTGACTGAGGAATCCTGGAAGCTATTGTCCAAAATAATAATAAAAAGGACCTTTCAAAGCTCTGCTAAGGCCCAAAGACGGGGCCTCAAGAGTCCCACTGCATTCCCAAAGCCCAGGGTGGTTGGTTGGTTGGTTGGGCCACCATGTCCTCCGATGCTCTCCCCCGTACCCTCCCTGCGCCCCCCACCCCCCGCACACATACCCCCGGCTGCCTCACCTGTGTCTCAGAGAGGTTGAGCTGCCGGGCGAGCTCGGTCCTTTCCCGGCCCACGACATACTGGCAGCGCTGAAACTCCAGCTCCAGCCGGTAGAGCTGTTCTGCGGTGAACGAGGTCCGCGTCCTCTTGGGCCGGTCCAGGTCTAAGCCTTTGGGAAGGACAATCTCCCGGATGGTCCCTTTGGCATCTGCAGGAGACAGCAACCACAGAGGGCGACTTCACTCCCAGGTCTGGCCAGCTGGAGGGAAGGACGAGGAGGCGGGTGGGGCCCTGGGGTTCCATACCGTCCACACCAGCCCTGGGACATGGAGCTCAGCCACCGTGCAGGCCACTGCCCCCGGGAGCGGCCGGGACCAGGGACCAGGGACAGGCAGGGTCTGCTCAGTATGGGGACCTCTCTCTCTCTCTCTCTTGTTGAAGGACGTTTCCTAGCCTCCACCGAGCAGCAAATCTTACAAGAAGCAAATGCTGCTTGGAAAAAAAAAAGATTGGGTTCCACTCTTGCCCAATGAGCTAGACTGGCTTGGGGATTTGGGGAATCTGTCATTGAAAACCAGAAAGGCGGCCTGGCTCTGAGTTGGCTCTTGCGCTTGGCTGGAAGTGGTATGGCTCAGGAGGACCTGTCCGCATGCCACAGAGGGAGCGAGGAGTGTCTCTGGAGCAAGGCATGCCCTCCCAATTGCCACTGGGAATGGCCCCTGCTCCCTCTGCCATTCTAGGCTGCAGCAGCAAAGCATCGGGCGCCCCTCTCTTGGCTTGCTCAGACCTCTCTCGTCTGACTTCTGGGAACCACCGTTTCAGAAGGAGGTCAACCAGCTGGCTCCTTTCCAGTGGAGGGAGTCAGAGGAGGCAAAAGGTCTGGGAACAGAGCCATAGGAAGGACATGTTCTGCCTCCATATTTAGCCTGGAGAAGAGAAAGAGGGAGTCGTGACGGCCCAGCAGTAAGGGAGATGTTTTCTGCAGCTCCAGAGTGCAGGATCTAAACCGATGGGTTCAAATTAAAAGAAAGGAGCTCTTGCCTAAACACTAGGAGGAACTCTCTGACCTATGAGCTGTTCCGCAGAGACACAGGGGAACCTTGGAAGGCCACAGACAGGCGTCCCCTTGAGTTTTTTAAACAGGAGCGGGATGGCTCACCTTCCTTCCATGCAATGAGCTTGGTGCTTGTCTTATCATCTCCTCCCCCCCCCCCCCCCCCCCTCTATTCTCACCCCACCCCCGCCAGGGCAGATCAGGGTGAACAGAGGGAGGTTTTCACTGCACATTGCACAGGGCTGAGCTCAGCAGCCTTGAATCCCTTCCAACGCTCGCCGTTCTATGATGATTTCAGTCTCTGATTCTGGGGGGGGGGGGAAGGGCGGGGGGATCTCAGAGAAGGGGCATATAATGGGAGGCTTTGGGAATTTCAGCTCCTTATAGTGTATTCTCCTGTGTGTGTGTGTGTGTGTGTGTGACAGGGGGTTCGGAATCAAGGAGCTGCTCTCCTCAAGCTCATGAAAGGGAGAGCAGCACTAAAAGCCGGTCAGGGTTAGATGCTCGGCTGCATTTCCTTCTTTCCCTCCCGGGCACTCAACGCAGCCAGCCTGCTTTGCCTCCTCCTTCCTTTCTCCTCACCACAACAGCCCTGCGAAGGAGGCCAGGCCAAAAGATGGGGATTAACCTGCAGTCACCCAATGAGTTCGGTGGCGGAGTACAGCAAGGACCTGGCCCCCGCCGAATGTGTGAATCTCGACAACACCACACTTCTGCATGAAGCCACTCTAATGTTTTGCGAGAGGCGAGGGCCAGCATCGACCCGGGCACCAGGCGGAGATGGCCGAGGTGGAGGCAGGTGACGACAGCACATCCTTCTGCCTCTGCTCCAGGGACCACTGTCCAAATCCACATTGCTGGATTCCGCAATCATCACCTGAATCTATTCTGCCCCCGCTCTCAAGACATGCTATAAAGCAAAGGGAAAACTCCATTGGCCAAACTAGGGTCCGCTGGCCTCACCCAGGCCATCTGGGGATAACAGACGTTGGGGTCCAGCCCACCTGAAAGGCCTTGGCAGAGAAAAAGATTCCACACCAACCGCGTATCGCACTGGTCATCCCACCCCTTGCAGGTGTTCTTGCCCACTAGCTCCTCGGAAACCTGGGCTGGTCCTTCTGTCCTTCTGTAGCCTGCTGGTCCCACTCAGGCATAACCCTACATCACTGGAGAGGCCGATTGTCCAGGTTTTTCTGGACCTTTCTTCCCTGTGTGGCATCAAAGGGACAGAGAGACTGGACACTCCTCGGTGGGAGTACCACAGACGCAACCTACGTGGAAGACTCTGGGTGGTGGAGGGGTTGGACTAGATGACCTCAAGGTCCCACATCATTCTAAGGAGTCACCCTAGCATTTCACTCTCTAAGGAGATGGCCCATCCCAGCCTAGAAACCCCAAGGATTTCTACAGCTGACTCTCAGCCTTTTTATTTACTGTATTTCTTTTTTTTACAAAGCAGGGAAAAGCCACTCTTTCAGGCTATAACATCCAGAATCCCCCACTGAATATAGCCATGCTGGCTATGGATTCTGGTTATGGTCATTTGCAAAGTAATTCCAAACCACCCCACACCCCACTATGCATGTTCTCTTGTCAATATGCAAAAGATTGTAGTTTTCAAGAGTCTACAAAGGGCTTGCAATATCAGAGCAAAGTCCATGTTCCCTTCTGTTTCCACCAGCAGCAGCCACATCAGCATAGATGATCTTCGCCCTTCTGCCCCACTCTGTCTTTAATATCACACAATAAGGGATAGACTGCCTTTGATCAGGGAGGCTCCATGGGAAACACCCTTCATGGGCATGTTCTGCACAAATTGTTTTACCATTTAAAAAGACACTGAAGCTACCCCTAGGCCAGGCGGCTGTGAAGTCCACAAAATAACTGCACACAGCTTTGAAAACAACTTTTTTTTTGCTACCTTAACCCCACTGCCCACTCACTTTCTGATACTAGGGAAAACAATGAATTGTGACATTCTGAAGTTGCAAGAAATTGCTGTTCATTTGGCTGGCACCTCACAGTGTATAAATTTACATTTGCAACTAAGCGCATTGCATTCTGGGGCAGCTCAAGGACTGAACTGAGAAGAGCCCCGTCCCCACATTCAGGAGACAGCCGCCCCTCTCTCCCCGGCAGAAACTGGCTGGGCTCGGTCTTTCCTCACATGGGAATGACTCTGGCTCCATTCCAACATTCTCCCTCCCAAAGTGGACGCTTTCCTTCCCTGCTTGATTGCACAACGTGGCCCAACCTTGGCAGCTGCCACCAGAAGGGGAGGGTGTTGGCTTTTTCACAGATCAGCCCTTCTGCACCCAGGCTAAACTGTGCATCCCCTAAAAGGACTTTCTGATCATGCAAGGGAGGGAAATATGTGTGAAGCAAATGAAGGTGAAATACTAAGTTTGTATTTTCCTAGAAATGGACATTTTCAGAGGAATTGATCTACTTCTGTCCTCTGAAGATGCCCATGGCCACAGAGATGGGCGAAATGTTGCGCCCATGGCCACAGAGACGGGCGAAACATTGCAAAGAACAACCTTCATAACACGACCAAAGAGCCCGAAAAACCCACAACAACCATTTGATCTACTTCTGTTCAAGTACAAGCCATTGTGCTTTCTGTGGCACCTTAAAGTTGAACAAGGATTTCTTGTTTTGTTTTGGCTTAAACTATTGTAGATCCCAGCCTGCTTCTCCAGATTTTCTTCCCCGGACACTTTCCCCCAACTCCCTCCATCTTTTGAAATCTTCTTCCTCCCCTTTATAAATTTTAGACCTAGACTGCACAATCCTTTTTTGAAAATAAAAGAAGTAGAAATGGAATGGGGGAAAGAAATGGAAAACCAAATGCTTTGCACCTTAAGTGAAGAATCATAAAATCCTAGAAAAGTGAAGTTGGAAGGGACCTACAAGACCTTCACTCCCCAGCCCCCTGCTCAGTGCAGGAATACAAGCAGCTGGCTTCACCAAGAAGGAACCGGAGCATGGGAAAGTTACTTTTTGGACTACGTAGTCCCATAATCCCCTAACCTGTGGTCATGAAGGCTGGAGGATTATGAGAATTGTAATCCAAAAAAAAGAAAGAAAAAGAAAGAAAGAAAAAGAAAGAAAAAGAAAGAAAAAGAAAAAAAAGAAAGACGTCTTCAACGTCTGGCAATTCATGAAACTCCCTCTCTTCTCCTTCTGAACTCAACTTGAAAGTCCACTTCGCTCTGACCCCTTTCCAGGGTTTCTTCCGGAGTCTGAAGAGCTGCCTTGATTTCAAGTCTGAAGATGTGCTCTGTACCCTCTGTCTTGCTGGAGGAAAGCAAGCTCAGAGCAAGTGAGCAACACGGATATCAGGGGAGTCCTTCCCTCCATGCTGGAAGCCAGGGCCTTGTGTCATACCAGAATTCCCAATTAGGAAAATGGGGTCTGCCCATGCAGAACCAAAGGTGCAGAAATCTTGATAGTCTCTGACGATATGTGCCCACACTAACGTCAGCCCCACTGAGTTCCGTGGAGCCTCCTCTCCAGTAAGTAGGGATGAAGGCACTGGTTTAAAGGACAAAAATGGCACCTGACCTGAGTCTGGAAATTACTGCCAAACGGTTTAACGGCAGGCCGGGCATAGGCGCTCCTCTCCTGGATCTCTTTGGGGGTAATCAGTCTTTTGCAACAGGGTTCCACATGGTACGATTCTGTGGGCTAGGAGGCGGAGCGGTGTGACCTTGCCAACGACAAATCCATTTCCAAAAGGAACACAAAAGCTCCTTAAGACATCACCTGCTGCTTCGCCATTCATCCAACATCCTTTGCACAACAGGAGTTTTAAAGACGACTCTCTTTACCCAGTTAAAGCATTGAGACGGTGATGTTCTGCTTGTCCGAAAACATCCAGCAGCACGAATGGAAATAACAGTAACAACAAAAAGAACCTCTGATAAAAATTCAGTTTCAAACAAAGCTGTGATATGACTAATGCAAAAGAGTCACTTAAAAACACCCTGCAGATAAGCTTGAAAACTAGAAATACAAGGAGGAGGGATAAGAACATAGCAGAAGAAAACTCCAAAATGCCTTTCCTACAAAGAAAAGGCTCTTTTTTTCCTGAAAGGAAGGGCATTTCAAAGCTTTGCTTTGGTCACTCATCCTGGTCAAAAATGGGATGG